TATACATTATTATTATTAGTCTATAATAGATACAATCTCCAAGAAGGAGACAACAGGCACCAACTAGGCGGAAACGAGATACGAACATTTTCGTATTTTACAAGCCCTGAAACGTCGATAAAACGTAAAGTTAATTCATCAAAATAATCCCGTCAACTACTTCGCTTAGTTTCTGCTCGGGATGTAAAAAAACCTTTTTGAAATGTAGTTCTGGCAAGTGTTTTCGGATTAAAGACTTAATTTTACGTTGTCAGCATTGAAATATCTTAGATGAAGTGCACTAGCCTACTGAAATAAGAGACTAAACTTTCAAAATTTTCGCAAAATAGCAAAAAAATACGTACGTCAAAGTAGAAACCTTGTTGGCTCTCCCAAAAAATCACCATCTTTTATAATGTTACATGGAGCTTGTGGTATGTTTCTATTCGCTAGAAAATTAGGTGAAAATTCTCTTCCTATAACACTGTTTAGATGTTTTTATATCATAATTTCTTGAGTCAACTTCTATGTCTTGAAAGTGGTGAATGTACAACAAAGTAAAAATTTGAGCTTATCGATTTATAAACTGGTCTCGTCTGAGCGGATGTGAGAGGAAGAAGTAGCGAAGCCTAGCTGTTATCTGCTGTAAAAGTTGGAAACATTGTCGATAAGAAGTTGTTGGTAATGGCAGCCGAGTTAAACGTGCTAATTGTTATCAAGATAAGCCCAATTAATATTTCAGCCCACGATCAGATAACGAGCAAAGAATTAATTGTTGGTACTTTGGCCGTAAATCACGGTTAAAGTTAAACCCTGTCAGTGAAGGCTCAAATATCTCTCACGAACAAAACGTACAGCTGCCAGTTTAGCCAATATTAAAGCTCGTCGGTGTTTTGTTCCACACGTGAATGCCACGTCTTTATCTGGCCCATTAGCGTGAAGCGCGATAAAATAAAAGAGAAAACGAGACGCGGCCACACGAATTAATGAAAATTAGCCTCAGTTTGGCCAATATTGCTCTGCGTCACGCTAGCTAGCACCCCAAAGGCACACCACTATAATTAACATGGTAATTTGGGGGCGTGATGTTGGCTGTATGTCTTACTGGCGTGTAGTGGCTAGCCTGGTGTAGCCTGAGCCGTTTACACAGCGCCCTAGGGTTCATTTTGGCGCTATCATCTCTAGTATCACGGTAGTAGTTTATTATAATTGCATGATATACATATAAATTGATTGTGCTAAGGTTGATGACTTCATATGTGCTGCATAAAAGCGATGATTACTTTATTGGACGAATAAATTCGCTCACTCGTTACCAACTCGCTGCTCCCGTTTTACCTGCCTCATCAATTGCTAGTCGAACACCTATAGTACTCTGCACCTGTGTAATACTCATTTGCATACAGCGGTGGCATTAAATTGGTTGTAATGTTGTTGGCACACATCAACACACCTTCAAGTGAATATGAGCTGACTGACGCCGCTACTGTTTGACTTTCCCGCCGAAACTTACTTCCCTGTCTTTGACAGAAAAATAAAAAAAATAGTTCTTAGTCAAGGTGAATCTTGTATCAAGAATTGTTGACTACAGTTTCCAATGTTTCTCAATTGAGCGTGAAACTAATGAAATATTTCACAAAAGCTCTTTGTGTACCTAGAGGGCAAGGAGATTTGTTGTCGCATGCGAAAGAAAGTTACTCAATCGGCGACCTCAGTCAGTATTTCGGAAGTGGAGAAAACATTTCGCGCTTGGCATACACACATAATTTTTGCTACAGTTACATTTTTTGCGCTAAAAATTGCAACAAGTCTACTCATAAAACTTATTCTTCTTTTATTAACTCTTTCGAAGTTACGAAAGAAGTTTGCAATTTTTTTAAATTAAGTCAAAATTGACATTAAAAAAATCATTAACGTTGAGAATGACATGACAAATAAATGCTGATTTAATTTCTTCAAAATTTTCGGCCGGTATTTTACATTTTCTTTAATTCTTTGCATATTTTATAATACCCATGAGAAAAAAATTAGTTTAAGGGCATTTAGACAGCTTGCCTTGTCCGTGACATTAGCTTCAGCTTCGGAGAAAACAGATAAAATTTGATTTGGCGATTTTTTTATGGAGGATCGGTTTCGGGTTATTAGGGCGACGTTCTAACGCCTGCGCCATTCGAGTGTGCTGTGAATTGCCCTTACACTAGTGTAAAAGGTTGTTATACAGTACAGTACAATATTTGCCGAAAATTTGGATGCCTATAGGGTAAAAATTCAAAGCGGATTCATAAAACACAACTACAGGAGTATGTTATTTTATAAAATTTAAATAGGAGTAGCATTTAACATACAAAACATCAAAACAAAACAAAAATCGACCTGTTCGAGCATTTCAAGGACAGCGCCTACGATCCCGTCTGTTTCGTTTTATTTGGGCAACCGTGTATAAATTATCCGTTAATTTTGTCAGATCATCTGCTCTGCTGCCAAGTTCGTAGGCGAATGATGAATGAATTTGGAAATCGAATAATAAAATAATTACAAGTCCATTCTAGGTTTTCCATCTCTTCCAACCCCTCGTTAAATACATTTGTAGAACTATTTATTATTACAAAATCCGGCTCAGATTTTCACCAATTACCACGAAAATGCAGCAAAAATTTTAAAATATGTTTAAAATTGCACTTAACATGTAAGTATGCATTAAATGCAAAAAAAATTGTTAAATATGCAGAATATGCATTTTGCATATTATCCGAGCTTTATTTCATCTTGCACGATCTGCTGTTCAGTTTTGAAACCAAAGTTGACCGTCAGTGGTAAATATTGCTAGAATTCATAAACACACAGTTTTTGAATCTATAAAAATTTGAAACTCCGCGTGCTTTTCCACCCGAATTTGGAAAAATTCATGGTAATCAGACTGTTCCTTTTTTCTTAATCATTAAAATTAGATACATAACTGGCAACATTGTTAATAACTGAAATTTTAGTAACAACACTTGAATCTTCAAGTCGTTTAAATTAACAGAGGCAATATGTTGTACACTAAGTAATATGAAGTTGCAAAGTACGTGGCTAATTTGTCACAATTTTCACACAATTTAAAACTTTTTACACAACTACGGCAATTAATTATTAAATCAATTATCTAAAATAGGAAGTATATACGTCCTTCACAAACTGGATTATTTGTGGTCTTTATTTTTCTAGAAATATATCAGAGCCTCTCGGATTCTTGCAAGCTCATTCTGTGTATGCTCGAAACTTCGAGTGACAAATTTCCTGGAAACTGAGGAAACAATGACAAATTCAGACCTCTATTTAATCGCAATTGCACAACGTGGCATAAACATATTTCAAACTTTAGTAACTAATAAAATACACAGTTTTAGTCCACAGTTAATTTTTCAATTTTTTTTTTTTGCTTTTGAAATACCTTACTAAAACCACTTTTCGTCGTTCTGCAAACATCTAGCTACCTCTAAAAAATATAAACGTTATATGAACTCATTTGGTAAGAACAAAAACGTTAATTATGCGAAAAAACAGTTAGATTTAATTTTTTAATTACATACCTGTACTACCTTCAGTGGAATTATAATTGAAAACCACGAAAGATTAAATGTCAGACGATCTCCACCAAATGGCGGTAAAAAATGCAACATCCTTGCAGTCTTCTAAAGCCAGGAGTTAAAATGATCGGTTAACGCTAATTAAGATAATTATCTGATGGTAAGGTGTAAATCTCGAACGTCAGGGAATAGACGTTAATTTGATCTGTCTACCACATTTTTCGATTTTCAGAGTTCTGCTTCATGACATTATCTAGATAATTTATCTAGTTATCTTGTTTTCAGTGTTGCAATAAGCCGATTTCTGAAGAGAACTGAATGGGTTTTCTTATGAAAAAATGCCAGACCGTAATATGCATGTATATTACTGGTAAAATTACTAATTAAATTTTAATTCAACTATGAAGAGAGTAATAGAACATTAAAGTGAATTAATTAAAAATGTGATGAAAGGTTCGGGCTTTGAAATTAAATCATTAACAATTTATGGCGCGTAACTACTCACTAAGATAATTTACTACAGTTTTTAAAAATATGTTTTATAATTAGTGATTTTTTAAGTAATTTTAAAAGGATAAGTCGTGTTTCTGCACTTGAACTTAATCAATAGTGTGACGGTGTATCTCTAATATGGTGTTAAAAGTATTGTACATATATATGTATATTACAAATTTTAAGGTGTTTTTTATATCAGAGTAGGCGATTCGTTACCCTCTAAACCGGTGGTTGTGCCTGGGTTCCCGCAGAGTTGTGTATTGGGACCGTTGTTTTCATCGTCCACATATCAGACCCATCTAGTATAATTTCGTCAAAACTATTTGCTTACTGAGCTAACTTTCATGAAGATTTTGAACACCCTGTCCTTTGTAATTCCGTTTCAACTTGGTGTTTTTTGTGATTTTGTATTTTGGGTGTTATAGGGGAAATAAACATACAGTGTTATGAGATAAAAGAAGATTCCAACAATTTATGTGGTAATGAAATCGTAAATGCGATGAATCGTAATAGGCTTCACAACAAATTAGGCCGAAAGGTACATTAATTAAATTCCATTTTGATGGAGCATAGATGTCTGTCTCTGCTCCCCACTTTTTTTTTTAATAATAAGAATAAGGATAATAAAACATGTGAGAACATGAAACAGACGAGATAATCAATAAAAGAACAAAAATACAATACAGTCAAACAAAAAATCTGTAAAAAAGATAACTTAGTTGGTTGACATATTATAAATACATATATGATTATCTGAATGTTTCTTTTAGTTTAGAATAAAATCCATAAAATCCATCGTAAAATTATTAAAAGAATGCTGCCAACTGTTGCGCATGCAGTTTAATTTTATTGAAAACTGTTATTTTCCTACTGAATATAGCATCCCCCATTTCGTGCAAATATCTAACTAAACTGTTATTTATTATTATAGTTTAAGCCGTACATTTTTCTTTGCAGGTGTGGTTTCAAAACCGACGTGCGAAATGGCGCAAAAAGGAGCATACGAAAAAGGGCCCCGGTCGACCCGCTCACAACGCTCACCCCCAGTCCTGCTCTGGCGAGCCCATACCTCCTGCCGAACTGCGAGCGCGCGAGAGGGCGCGTCGCAGGAAAAAGCTCCAAAAAGCTCTCGAACGGCAGGCGAGGAAGCTGCGTGCCAAGGGCATCGCCGTCGACCTCGTGGCCCTCAAACGGGAGTACCTGGCCCAGAGGGGCGCGGAGGGCTTGGATAGTGATAGCGATATAGACGTAGTGGGGGACTCGGGCGCAGAATCAGAAAGCTACTCTTGTGGGGAACAGGGGATGTTCTCCTCTGTCCCGGAGTCGGGGGTGGATCTGACCGCCGCCAACGACGACAAGAATCGAAGACTTAACCCGTTCAGTATAGAGTCGCTACTGAACACCTGAAGATCGGACGATCGCATAAACCTTGTGCAATAATGTTTTATATTGTTAGTGATAGGCGGCTTCGGCGAGTTCCGGCATTTCTAGATCACGTGACGTTGACAGTTTCAATTTTTTCGACTGTAACACATATCAAACGTACGCTTGTTTTCAGACGAAATGGCGGAATTTTGGCGAAGATGACTCATATTTATTGATGAAGAAATTGTAAATATAGTTTAAATGAGAACCCTGTGTATAAACGTCCCAGACATTCCAGTACTGTATTCGTTAATACTAGTAATAAACAACACATAGTACAGCAATACATCCAGCAAGTTCAAATTGTTTAGAATAGAATTGAACTCTTCGTGCATGTCGTCCTGTTTTAGTTAAGTTCATGTACCATAAACTCGGTAACAATATTGTTATTGCCACTTTATACGCTGTTACTTGAAATATGAAATAGTCATTGCATTATTTTTAGCATTTTTCGAATAATAGAAAGATTTCATTAACAACGAATATCAAACGCTAAAAATCAAATGGAAGTGAATAATATTGTTATCAAGCTTTAAATGTATTCCTATTCAGTGATCTGCAGTACTAATATATCAAATTAACTATTAAGTATGATGATAAATATATTATTTATTCGAATTGTCTGAGTTTTATTTCTTTCAGGTGTCGTGAGATCGGGTGAACAACATAATTTGTTATGGAGGCATGATAAAAGTCAAAAAATGGCAAATAATGTAAAAGCAAAAATTGTGAACACTTTTTAGCAAGAATTTTAATAAAAGAAATGTGAAGTTACAAGGGAACTTGGTACAAGATCAATGAATTTTATTAAGTAAATGAAATTAAATTACAGTAGTAGAGTACAAAATATTGCCAATTTTGTTCCAATCATAAGTCTGCCCTTCGTTTTAACTCTATCGATCACATGCCTCAGCATCTCTACATTATTGTTTATGTCGTTAATTTTTTTGTCATTTTCAACCTTAATTCTTCCAAATTATTGACATGTGTTCGAAAATTTCTGATTTTAAATATGGCGACAAAAAAGTCTAGAGTCAAGATCTTATAGGTATGTTGGGTTAAATATTCTCTGTATTTCGACTAATGATCCGGTTGTCAAAAAATACTAGTAACAGTGCTACTGTAGTTTTAGCTGAATGCACTGTTGCCCGGTCTTGTTGAAAATAATCTACTTACTTCCATTTTATTGTCGTGAAGTTTTGTTAAAAGATCTACCAAAATTGTTGGCTTATATCTAGCCGCAGTAAGGTTACCTTGAAGAGAATTACAATAAATAATCCAGTTAGCCACATGAATTATCATCTTGTTAACTAGCTGCAACCCAAATACCCATTTTTTGAGACTGAAAGGGAGTCTTAACATAAATATGCGGATATTCTGAAATTTTGAGAAACCGGTCATTAATTGTGTCAAGAAACCACCGGCAATACACACGTTAGCTCGAAATTCGGCTTAATGTAATTCTTGCACACACGTTGCTCGATAAGGAAAGAGTGCTAAATCTTTCGTCAATATTGCTGGACAAGTTCCATAGGATAATTCCACTTGCTGCGCTAAATATTGTATGGATGCTGGAGGAGTCTCTTCCATTACCTATTTAACATTGCGAATATTTTCTAGAGTTTCCTTATTTTGAACTTGCCTCGCCTTCGTTTCTTTGTAGAGGCGACGTTCCTCGGAAATTTGTATCACATATTCTTATAACGCGTTGACAAATAAACATAGTTGTTGGGAAATTCTTCCCGGAATTCATCCCAAGCCGCTTGAATTATAACATTTTCTGCTTCAATGGAAATAGTATTTTGGAACGAATACTCAAAAAGACAAATAAAGTTCTGAAAATAACTGTTACCAATGTAAAGATTATTTATTTATTTATAACAAAAAAAAAAAAAATAGAAAATTCAGGTCAGAAGGGACGTTTCATGTGACAGTTGTTAAAGGTACAGCCAAACTGATTCATAAATAATTGACGTAAAATTTAAATAAAAAGAAAAAATCAATTTATAAATATTTTTGTTTCTTGCCTTCTTCGGCATCTATTTCAGATATTAGGTTTATAAGATTAATTTTGATAAAAAAAATTTCTGTGACATAGATTTAGACACAACCTTAAATATATCATTGCACAGAAGACATACAGGTTGAATTCCTAGGAGATCTCGATTACAAATTATGTTTATCGTCCGATATATAAAATATATATAAAAAAAAAATAATAAAAAATCAGTTTCACAAAAACACCATTTTACTGGATTTTAGTGTTCACTTATACAAAATAAATAATTTAAAAACAAAATAATCTTCAAGATCGCTGGAGAACTGGTGTGGCGATTTTACAAAATTTATATTTGTTGACACTTCGAAGGTTTGTTTTAGCACTTGAACCAAAAAAAAATGTCATTTAGAAAGTGGATTTAAAAAAAAAATCCGTTTTATAATGACTATGGCAGTAGAAGGTTTGATGAGATTATGACATAATCTCGCAAGCAATATTTTGGAACGTCAGTATATGGACCTACTTTAATATGCCTGGGGCTGGCTTGAGTATCATTTTATGAATCTAAAAAAAACAGTTAAATCTATCTAAATCTATTTTTTTTATAACGTTTTAATTTTAATTTTAATTTTGGTAACATCAGTTCGTTCATCTTTAAGGTAAGTTGTTTACAGTATGTAAATAGTTATTTTTCTTACAAGTACCTAAAATACCATTTTTGCTTTAAGAGACGAGGCATAGCCGAGTCCGGAATAGTAGATTAGGCCGAAAAAACTTTTTTAGATATGTGTTAGAATTACAAACAACATTTTTTCTCCTAAAAACAGCAATGATTAGTCCGCAAAATCTCTATTTTACGTACTAGTCAGAAAAATATGTACTTATTTCTCGATTGAATTCGAAAAAATACATATAAAAATGGGTTCGCAAAATGTCAATTTTTGGGAGAAAAAGCAATTAATTATGAATACTTTTCTTTGTAAAATAAAATTGTTATAATGCGCTGGAGTCTATAAGCACGACATTATTATATTGAACACATTTAAAAATTTCGAAAAAAACCTGAAGTATCACTATTCAAAACACTGTGTTGTCGCAGCTGAACATCAAAAAATATTTAAAAAAAATATCAAACAAATTGGATAAATCTTTTGAAATGTATGTGCCAAAATGGTAAAAATATGGAAATGGAGCAACAAAACTGGAATCATGATTTACTAGGAAAAAAAATGATTGAATAAAGTTTTTCTTCTCTACTTCAACCTCTTGAGTTCGAACAACCGAGGAAGATTTAATTAATTCATTACACCGGGGAACAGTGGATCTGCGGTAACCACTTTGAGAGTCGATTTTGGGTATTTAAAGTCTGCTGAATACGAAAAAAATATTAGATTTGCCGAATTGACTCTAGTTTTTGAGATAATGACTCTAGTTTTTGAGATAAATGGATCTTCATTATACGACCTCAGATACGTAATAAATATATGAAATTTATTTTAAGGCTGTTATTTTCAAACCAAACTGCTAATATATATTAGGTATACATTATTATTAATCAAAAATAAAAATAAAAGAGAAAAACATGTTTTTTGTAGGGTTTTCTTCAATATTTCGAATTAAGACAATTTGTTTTTGAAGTTCAACAGTAATCTGTCATCATTTGCGCTTCCATTGGCCTCAGTACCTTTCTTCCACTACCCTTATGTAGTGGTGAAAACATTTTCACTGCTATTAGTTGGACTCGCTAAGACTGTTAGGAAATGGGTCCAAATGGCTAAGCAACAAATGAATTTTTAATGCTCATGTTAATTCCTAATTTTTCAAATATTTGTCTAGGATATTGGCAACGCAATGGCGATACTCTATTGTTTTATGATTCTCCTACAAATTTTTGACCGCTAAGATAAAGCTGTAATAAAGAAAGATTTGATGGAAAATGTTTGAAAATAACATTTTTGGATGAATTTTCGTGAAGAGCTATATCTTGCGAACTAGAGTCAATTCAAATGTTCTGATCACACAACAGATTACTACAACAATAGCAGTAACTGAAAGTACAATCAAAGCTAATACCGCATAAAATTTGATTTTTTTTGTTCCCCTGTGTTATTATTAAGACGTAATAGAACTGTTGCTTTCCTAATGTGAGTGATTTCTGTTACGAAAGTTTTGAGTTTAATTTTTGTTTCTATAGCAAAATATTAATTTAAAATTAAATATCTCTTCACACTTAATACAAATCTATATTCCGTTCATAATTATGACTTTGTGTGACCATTAAACGATTTGGATTCACAGTTCTGTTTGGTCTTGCGGTAAAACTTAATAAAAAGAATAAGGAAGGACCGCTGTTCAGAATAAACACTTTTTTAATGAAAAGTATGCCGTATTGGATTCCGCCATTTTGATTAATTTAAATGTGGCTACCAATTCGTGATCAGTGACTTTTAAAATGAATTTCCACCAAATTTTGTCAATACTGAAACATATATTGACTTTTGGGCAGTTTTTTGTCAGTTGAATGGATTTCAAGAAAGATTTGAAAAAAACAGCATTAATTAAAATCTACAACTCATCAACATGATATTTTGTTTTTGTATTGTTTTCTTTCTATTATCGATTTTTCCCAGGACTACTGAATTTTAACATTTAACATTTTTTCAAATTTTTTTCTTTGACATTCTAATCATTTGCTCAACTATTTTTTTTTTATTACACGAAAACTTTGATGCTTGCAACTAAATTCTTTGTGGGTGTTGTATTTTTCATGTTAATTTAATATACACATAAAAAAGACAAAAAAATAGTTAATGTCAAGGGCGGCTGGTGCCGGGGGGCACAACGTCTGTAAACCCACTGGACATAGCAAAATAGTAATTTTCAATATTTAAAAAATTATCCGAAAATTTGTGTCATACATAACTATCAAAACTTACATCCACTTACATCTAAAGATGTTGTGTCTTGGATATATGGTATGTTATTGCTGATGAAATACTGATAAAAGCGGGAGACGGAGATGGAATCATGGCTGATTTAGACGTTTTGTTTACACCGTTACCATGGAAACTATGCGTCTAGCCGCGGCATTTCATTCGAACCCGGTCCCCTTCCGACAATGCTCAGCAGCAGTAACTCAATCGCGGGTAATAATGAATTCGGTTGAATATTTAATAAAAAATCGTCCTCTGTGTCACGACGGTAAAATTTTAGTGAAAAATTTAGAAAGAGCCACCCCCGATTTATTGGTAAAAAAAAGTGTTTGTGGCAAAACGAGAGACTTTCATTGATATTTTAAGAGACGTAACACGTATCTATATATTATTGGATGTGCGGTTGTGAAAAAAAAAATTGATAATAATAATCATCTTTAACTCATCAATCAAATTGTGTACCCGCATTTCAAAAGGTTGATATGCATGCTACCAGCTTTCTGTGTTTTAAATATGTACCTAGTGGACGGATTTGTTACTTTTTGCTCGTATGTGGCTTATCGGACTTTTTTAGTTGCCAAAGTAGAGTACCTAACTTTTATTATTATTTATTTTCGAAAATAA